TTTTTTGGGTCACTTTTGGAGTGTTTGTCACTTTTTTGAATTTTGTCACTTTTTTTTAGTTTGTGTCATTTTTTATTTTTTTTTTTGAATTGTGTTTAAAAAGTGACAATTTTTATAAAAAAAAAATGTGACATTGCATCACTTTTTAATTTTACATAGTATTTTTTTACTTCCAAGAATTTTTTCATATGATTTTTCAAAACACCCCTAATTTTAACAGTATTTTTGTAAGTTGCCCATATTTTATTCCTTAAAAATTTTCCCCATACAAGGACATTTGCAAATTATGGTGCTTGGTTAGAACAAATATGGAGGAATCACATCTTCTTGTTTGACTCAATAATAAGGGAGGCTGAATATTTATTTGATAGCGTATTGCTTTTAATTTGTTCGTAATTTCCATTTAGAGCGTTAGACTCTGTGGGTGATAAATAAGCTTTGTTTCGAGTTACACATCTTCGTTTGCAAATTGAACGAAACTATTGTTGAGCATTTTCTCAATCTTGAGTCAATTGTTCAGTATTCACACTTGAATCAATGAATTATTGACTTCAAATTCTAGGGTATTCAAAGATTCAAGGAACCTTTGAACATATTCTTCGTTTCTTATATTTCAGCACATCACTCTTGAAACTTTACGTCACCAACTTTCATATCGTATATTCTGGGCTAATTCTCTTTTAAGAATTATAAAGAGAGATTCAAATCACAGGCTAACAACTAATAATAAAAACATGCAATCAAATCATTAGAGAAATAATCAAACGAGACAACAAAATATTAAAAAACCATGGTTGCGAAGGATCAAACAGGAGGTCGGAAAGATGAAATGAAATCAACCAAATTATCAAGTGACCAGTATGAAGAACTGCATGGTTTCAGATAACGATCTAATTTTTCCTTCAAACACATTATATTCTTCCTCATATCTTCCTCTTCCTTCCCCACCATTAGTTTTTTTATTGCACTTTCTATTTCAACTCTATCCAGCCCTTTCTCCAACTTAATCCGGACTTTCCAAATATCCTTCACATATCTGGAATTTACCTTCTGATCGCCAAAGAAAGGCGAACATATCATTGGGACACCTTCACAAATGCTCTCTAAAGTCGAATTCCATTCGCTGTGAGTCCAAAATCCACCAGTAGAAGGATGAGATAGAACTTCTTGTTGAGGAGCCCATTTTACAATATATCCCCTTCTACTAATTGCCTCCAAGAATTCCTTCGGCAAGATTTCAAGCCATTCCGAGCCATTCACCAATCCAGGTCGAACAACCCACAAAAATGGTTGCGCACTATTGGCCAACCCCCACGCCACTTCAATCAATTTAACTTCTTGCATTTCTGCAATACTCCCAAAACTCACATAGATCACTGACTTGGGTGCTTGAGTATCCAGCCAGGAGATAGAGGTTCGATCTTATGTCCATAAACTGCTTGAGGAGGCTGCAAAGTACTTATGAAACGGGCCAATTGCAAAAGTAGGAACGAGGAACTGTTCTTGAAGTTTGTCAAATTCAGGCTCTTCCAACTCCTTAAATGTGTTGAAAATGAGCCCCGAGGCTTTTTTCTTTTTTTTTGTCCCACCATATTAAGTACGACCTGGTATGGCTCTGTGGTTCACGTTTCAATGGTAGGTATATCCTTAACTTTCAGAGGTGGGAACTGTTGGAATAATTAATAATTTCATATGTGGGCTTCACATTCGATTGCAAATTTTACGGGTTAGATATATGGCTCATAATGATATTTGTATTTGGGCCAAATTTATTAAGTGATCAATTGGGCCTTTTACACCTTACGAGTTGTAATTAATTTGATGTGGTAATTTAAAGTATGTGTGCCAAAAATAAACCCTAATTAAAATTTTAGTCGCAATGGGACGGCTCAATTATTTCCTATATAAAGGTTAGGTCCCCTCTCCTCTCCATATGTTTTATTGGCTTGCCCCATTGATAGCTGATACTTTGTGAGGAGCAAGGAGGGAAAGATCTTGACCGCTATTACAACTATCATTCATATCAACAATGGCTTCCGCAGGTATGAATACGTTTCTATTAATTTATTGGATTGTGATTATCGATTCTTAACATGATTAAAACTAAATATTAACAATTGGCATCTGAGATGGAAGCTTCAGTTTCTGATAAACCATCAGGTATTAAGTGTACGATGAAATGAGGGTATTCAGAGAGATTTGGGAGATTATATTTGGTGTGGATGATAGAAATATTGAATCCTTTGTGGTGAAGGATGTTAGCCAGCTGAATCATGGGATTTATATGTCCTTGTAATAGCAATGGGAAGAGTACTAAACGACTTCTTTTACTCTGTCGTTGGATGGTCTAGCCTTGATTATCCATAAAGAAGAAGTGCTCTTGTTTTGAGCAATGGAGTGTATTGTTTAGCTCGAGGGTGGTGTCTCTCAAGATTCTTTGACAATATGAAATTGAGGCTCAATTTGTTTTCATTACTAATAAAGCACGATGCCAAAACGATTTTTACATTAGTCTTGTCGTGATTATCCCTCAAGCCTTTGAGGTATATCTCATTATCGAGAATGATACCAAAGACTTTTATTTGTTTATAAACTCACGTGAGGAATGGGTAATACTGGAGGAAGCCATTTACGATACTTTAATGGATATTTCTCGGTTTGATGTCTCTCAAAATACTTTGATCACAAGAGATGGGGGCTTGATAAATATTCAATTACGTAACTTTTACTATGCCCCTATTCGTCGTTAATTCAAAAATATATTTTTCTCTATTTTCTTTTCAATCATATTTTCTTTAATAAAATAATATTATACGTAAATTCAAAACTTTTTCCTTTTTTTAATAACACATTAATAAAAAAATAATATTACAATATATATATATATATATATATATATTTTCAAAAACTAATTACAATGGAGCTCAATCATGGACTATCGATGTTCAAACAGGGCCATGTCGACCCTATTTGTATAGCATGATGTAAACTACATTTAATGATAGACATCAAAAAGGTATAATAATTTCCAGGCGGACCTAGAAAAATCGTCGTCTTGTTAATTAGTATTGTTTCTTTCATAGACATATTATTGGTTGAGGGCATCAAGTTGCAAAGGAAATTCCGGGAAAATTGTAGCAGCGTCCCTAACCTTTTTCCTTTTTTTTTTTGCAAACTTTACCTTAACCTTCACTTTGTGCCAGCGAAGGTCTTTAAGCTTTCATAAATATGCTGGGGTCTATTTGGATAGAAATTGTCCAAAACATTGTCAATTGACGGGGAAAATTCTTGAACTATCTACTATCACGACGGTTTTGTTAGCTGCTGATACTTTTTTGGACGGTATTTTAGACAGTTTTATTAGAGGTTGATTCCTTAATTTTTTTTCAGTCAACTGACAGTGTTTTGGACAGTTTCTGTCCAGATGGACCTCAGGTGCATATTTATGAAAAGTTGGGAACTTTCGCTGTCACAAAACGAAGATTAGGGTAAAGTCTGAAAAAAATGAAAAGGTTAGGGACCACTATTGCAATTTTCCCTAAAATTCCCGCAACACGTTTCAACTTTTAAAAAAAATAAAATTAAATTAAATGAAAGGCTATTCAAGGTTATTTTCAAGGTTCAAGCATGACCTCTTGGATCTTCCCCACTATATTTAGCCTGTTTGATTCTCATTATTCCTGTATTATGATGAGAATTTGATTTTATTAGTAATTTTTTGGAGAATGTATTGTTAAAAATGAAATAAAATTTTTAGATTTACATGTAATAGTTTTTTATTAAAAGTGTGGTTGATAAGAAGGGATGGAAAAATGAAACAGGAGCCTAATTTATTGTCGGTACTATTTCTAATGATTTGTCTGCATTGGTCCATCAACATAAAATACTGTACATTCAAACGTTTAAGGACATGTTTGTTTAAATAAGCTAGAAGATTAAAGCCAATTGACTAAAAGTGTTTTCCCAACGATTATAAGCAAATATTGTAAATCCTATTAATTTAATTTAGAAACCTTCAGCTAATTGGATTCAAGCAACATGAAACTAAATCTTTTCTTCTTCATCTACAAGAAAATAAATCTCATAAATCCATGCAAGTCACTAAGAAATTTGTTTACTAAGGTTGTCCAAAATATAAATACCAAGGATAACAAATTAGAAACTTATAGTAAGACTTCTATTTCAACGACAAACTCAGGAACTATACTATTTAATTTGTTTAAGTATAAACAAACTCCATAAGGCTCCCAAATATTAAAAAAATAATAATAATAAAAAAAATTCAATTTTTCTTTTTTAAGTGACAAAGCTTAGCTCTATTAATGGATGTCAAACACGGCACTGAATTTAATGCATAGAGTTGGAACGGCTTTGATGAAATGGAGATGCGTTAAAGAAAACCTATGTGATAGCCAATAGGAAGATTTATCAAGAACTTTACAATTTTTATAAGATGAATGAAACACAAATAAAAATATTAAAATGTACAATTGTGCTATAAGTACCGTACTTTTTACATCATTTTTTAAGTATTCTCACATCACACAAGTGAATCCTACTATTAAAATAATCATGGAGCCCACACTTGTGAGTGGACTGTCAACATGAGTGTACTCAGTTTAATTATATGTGTGATGAATAAGCAACAAGTAGAGATGATAATCAATAAAAAAAAATGACAAGTAGAAATAATGGGATCACATTTGTTTTGATATGAAAGGTCCAGGAGGACCAATAATATTTATTTCAATGAAAAGTGCTATAAGTACAACAATTTTTGCATTATAGTTGATAGTCCTCTCAGATACAAAAGGTGGATCCCACGATTAAAATAATTGCAGGTCCCACGATTGTGAAAGTGTTATACGTGTATAGCACTGCATTTTCCTTATTACAATAGATTAGAGCACAGTAAAACAAATTAAAAAAGGAAGGAATATTGACTTAAAAGTGCTATAGATGTTAAGGGAGTTAATTTAGAATAAATTCATGGAAAAAAATGTATGTACAGAGGGGGGGACTATCGAACCGTGTCCCCCCTCTCACATAACACGTGGGCCCCGTATGTATTAAATAATGTCGAGCCGTGGCCCCCCACCTCTTATTGTGAGTAGTAGGTAAAAAATTAGGTACGTGTAGCATAGTCCTAAATTCATTTATCGCTCATCTATTCTAACGGCTACCTATTCATCAATGATTTGAAATTCAGTACTCTCCTTTGACGAAAATCAGCATGTGCCCGACAGAACTGATGAAAAAATTGGAGGGTTCATCGTGCCAAGTGTTTTAGCAATTGAAAAGTCAACTGGTCACAGAAAATTAATAACAGCGACCACTACATGGTCACTGTTAAGTATCCTATTCACAAACCACCTTCTTTGGTCGCTAAAAATGTCAAATCCGCCCTCAGGGCACGTCTCCAAGTGGTAAAAGGGGAGGGTGGAGAAATTCAACTTTGCTTGAGGCTGCCGCATCAAGGGTTCGAATCCTGAAATATTGATTTGACTCTTGGGTAAGTGCAAGTGTACAAGTAGCCTTCCACCCTGTACCCTTGGAGGCATAATCTGCGATTTACCTCCCTCACGATACTCCAGGACAGAAGCGGTAGAGGACCCTTAAGATTGTGGTTCAACCTTTAAAAATGTCAAATCCAACTGAAAAAAGTACACGAGATTTTATGCACAAGTGTATCAGCAGCCAATTGAATGTTGGTTGCTAGTGGTCACTGGTGACGTCTCCTATTCAACGACTACAATAGTTGGCTGCCGGAGGACCAAATCTATGTGATGAAATTTAACGGAATTTATGCACCAAATGATTAAACGAACATTGGAATGTTGGCTGCTGAAAACCTTTGACAACACCCGTATAGTGGTCGCTGTGGGTGTTTCCTACGCGGAAAAAAATGAGGCTATTTTTTCCACCTTAATTTTTATCAACCAAGCGAATGTATGGTCTTTGATACTCTAGTTCAGCGACCAAGTTTTGGTCTCAAAAGAATATTAAAAAAATTAGTCCAATCTTAACGGACTAAAGTCCTTACCAATCAATTTGTTGTCGTTAATATAGTCTTATAGCAACCACTTTCTAGTGGCTATTTTTGAGAGAGACTCCTTTTAGCTTGGTGTAAAAACAATATTTAACCCTAATTTCACATCGGACCAATTTTCTCCAAAAATGACATTGTACAAATTGAATGGAAAACAATAAATGTGACCCAGTAACGCCAGTTATGGAAGACAATCCCATTATTGAAGGTGCATTGTTGGACACGGAGAAGGATGAACCACGCGGAGGTAAATTTTGAGATAAATATTTCGTCGAAATCTGCAGAGTTCTTAAATTGATGTTTTTGTTCGCTTTATAAATGATTTTGGCCTTTTTCTATTGGAATATTTGATTGTTTGGACTTGAATGAAGAATAGGTACCACGTGAATGTCAATTTAAGTGATTTAGATGATCAGACCATAATATGAGTCAAAATTAGGAGTTAAGATGTGTTGTTCATTTTTACTGTCTAATTTGCTATGCATCCAATTACAATTCGCAATTGAACGGATAGCAAATTAGACGGTATAAATGGACAACAAATCTCAACTCCAGAATCAGATGAACCATATTATCCACCCTCGGGGGAACAACATATTAATTATTCTTGTGGTGAGGAAAATGATTTCGTTATGCATATATAAGTAGATTCTCAACACGCAGTTTCCTTTGGGTAATTGTATTTTCCGATTTGGCGAAAGTTGTTTTTAATTTTTGGAAAGGCGTTTTCTCACTTACGTAAGTCATTTTTAATTTGATGCCTTTTTTTATGCAAATGGCAGAACTTAATGATGTCAATGTACCACATATGAATTTGACACATGGTGATTTTCGTCAAATGAGAGTTGCGAATTCAAATTAGTCATGGATGGGTAAGAGGTGGGCATTTTTTGGGGAACCGATTAAATCGGAACTAGATGGAACCAATCTGTTTGGCTTCGATTCCTCTATTAAATGGATCAATTTTGGAATTATACATCGAGAATCGATGATTTCGATCAATTTTTACTATGTCTTGAGAATCAGTACTAAATTCAATTCTCCCAAAAATTTCTCTTTTTGCTTGTGTATTGCACTAAGATGCACCAAATCTTTGAACACTGGACCGAAAAATCATCCTATGGAAAAATTTCACTTTTCATACACTTCTTTTTTATTTCTAGCAAAACCTAATAGGTAATCAAAATCAAAATCTAGATAATTTTATAAATACTTTACAAATTCATAACTTTAACGCAAACTCAACATGAAAAAATATGTATTTTTAGTTCAATCTTGTTAATGTAATAAGTTAATTAGGTTAAGGGTAGCTTAGTCTTATTATGTTTCCTTAGTTTTGTATTATATAAACCATTGTAATCTTACATTATGCACCCAAGTTTGGAGGCTGCTACGATTCGTTTTCTCTTCCTCCTCCATTCTTCATCTATTAGTTTCTTCTCCTTTGTTTGATCATCATCTTTGGTTTGTTGTTCTCTACATGGTATTAGAGCGGGTTTGATTTGGGGTTAAACTTGCAAGGTGTCGTTCCCCGGCGAGCGGCTGGTCAAAACTTTGTGATATGTTCGCGGCTACGGGAG